ATAATTGTGTATTCAGACTTCAGTTTAGCAAATCTCAATAAATTGCTTCCCATAGGAGAAATTTCTTCTGTTCAATCTACGGAAAACAACTATAGTACAAGCATCAGCTTTCCTAAAAACTTGCAGGGTAGAAAAGAGTCTTTCCCTCAAAATATTGACTATTACTCGCATGACCGCCATGTCTGTGGTGCCTGCTGTTTTCCGTCTTGTCTGGGTTGCCGATTTTCAGTGCAGTGATGGGACACCAAAGTGCTGCAGGATGCAAAGGGTACCTGTGGCATTTTTACTGCAGTTCCCATGGTCACCACTCTGTTTCCATGATACTCTTCCTCCTCAGGACAGGCTTCAGAAACCATCATTGGGGTGATCCTGTCATTTATAAGAGAGATGAGGACTATTTCTGGAAAAAGATCCTAAACCAAGGCTATCTCAGCTCTGCAGTGAGGAATCTTTGAAATTACCTATGACCCGTCCTTTTGCAAGGACAACCAAACTTTATTTCTGTTTTTCTCAATTCCAAAAATGCTTTTATTCCCAGGAAGTTAATATTTCATTAGCAGTAGTTTCTCAACTTTTCAGCCCTTTCAAAGAATTAATGGTATAAAAAAAAGTGCATCAGTGCACTAGATGGACCCCCATGATTTACAGAAGCTCTGTATTGAATAACTTTGAATGAGAAAGACTTTTTTGGTAGTAAGAATATTCACTTTCTGACTCTTCTATAATATACAGCCATGAGGTGGGGGGTGGGGAGAAATGCCATTTTTCTACTCAGCCCAAAATGTGAAAGCTTGTTCCACATGATAGTCACAGGTTCCTAAGCAGTTGGCTTAAAAATGAGCAGAATTAGATGGGTCCCTTTCAGTGGCCCGTCATGGTCGGGGGAAGGAACGAGGAGAGGGAGTTGATTCTCGTTTCAGTCGTTGTCCTTGCAGCCACCCTACTTCATTTTCCATTTAAATTAAAAAACAAAACAAAAAAAAACTTGCTTTCCTATAATGGTTAGTAAAATTTACGTTTCATCCCTTGCCTACAGTTATTTTTAGCCTTATTTTCTCTTTTCGGAGCTGGGTGCTGCTCTTCGTCAGCTGGCGCTGGCCCCTACCCTTCTCGTAGGTGTTATTACAATTGGCCCTAGACAGGGCAGTGCCTCCCTTTGGATCGTCTGCCAGTTGGTTTGACAGGTTCTGTCTACAAATTTGAGAGCAGCCTGTTTGATTTTTTTTCTTTTCAGCATCTAAACAATCATGTAACCACATCACGGCATTTTTTGTCACATCATTGACCTTCGCTGGCAGTTTATCCCCCTACAACACTTGAATGCATTAATATCACTGTCTGTAGCATTGTAATTTAATTAGAGCAGTGGTTATAATCCTCTTGGGAAAATTGTTATCCTCTCTGTAATGTTAAAATGAAACACGTTTGGTTTTCATCCAACTAACTCTCTAGAGGTAAATAAGCTCTACACGGGTGCACCCCTTCTCTTTGTTGGGGTCGGACCAGAGAAGCAGTCACATAAAGAGGCTCCCTTTATTTGGGAAATTGGATGTTAGTCTCCTTAAGCCTCTCTGTCTAGATGTCTCCTTCTGAAGTAGCGGGATTTATTTCATTTTTCTAATTGCTGATAGTCTGCTAACTGTGCCACTGTAGATGTTAAGTGCATGGTTATAGTAATATTAATAAATGTGGACCACGTGAATCACCCCAGAGATTAACAAAAAGAAAAACAAAAGGAGATAAGCGTGCGCTGTGGGATTCCCAGGTGTGTGTTTTAGTCTCAGAAGGGAGCCCAGGCCCTGGGCTCCATCCTTCCTTGGGTCCCCTGAGTGCTCTGTTGGCCGCTGAGCCCAGGATCAAGATAGGTGTGTAATGGCTGCTAGCAAATCTCCTGAGGCCCTAGACGTGCATTTTGCTTTTCCCCCTCTTGATCAAGGTACCCTCTCTTCTGTTACTGACATTGAACCATTTCAAAAGAGCGTCTGGCCCCAAGCTTATGGTGTCACAATCTTGCTGAGTAGAGACCGTCATTAATAATGAGAGGAGTTCAGGGTCCACAATCACTCAGTCTCTGCCCTTTTTATAGGTTTCATCATCAAACAGCACAGTTGTCTCCATCTAGAATTGTTTGGACATGGATGGGGAGGTGGCATAAAATCCCAGGGCAAGCATTTCAGTGTATCGGGAAGGACGGATGAACCGTGCAGAAACGCAAACACACTGGGGGCTACCTCCAGAGAAAGTACAGTGAAATGAAGGGACTACACAATGGTAATTTAGCAAGTCAGGATATATACTTTTTTATTTTAAAGATTTTTATTGGGGAATTGGGGGATGGGAACAGCACTGGGGAATTGGGGGGAAGGGAAACAGACAAGTTGCTGTCGTTTTGTTCTTCAGTCTAGTTGTGGAGGACGTTGCTTCACTGACCCAAGTTGGCACCATCATTGTGCTCTTCCCGGTCGAGGCAGATCAGTTGCCGGCTTCTGGACGGCCGCTCACTGCGGCTGCTGGCCGCTCACGCTGGCTGCTGGCCACACACGGTAGCCCATGGCAACC